GTATTTCTAATAAATAAATGTTGTAGGTACTTACATATTTTATTGGTATATAAATATTTCATCAGCTGTACCGCAGAATATTCTTTCCCATCCCATATTGCTTGCACTTTTTAGATATAATGAAACGGTGTTGTATGTTATTGTAATCTAGCGAAACCACATTTCGGCAACGTTACAAATAAGTAATAACAAAGCAGTTTTAAATCAGTTGATTATATTTTTGAAACAATCAAATGCGTTTAATTCATTTATATTAACTGGCTCGATTGAAACATGATAAACATAATTTAATTTCTCCTAAATACAATACCAACGACTTGTTTATTTTTCTAAATTATAGTTATTCTTTACATTTTAAAACAAAATTTAAAAATTACGCTTTTATTCAAAAAAATTCTTAACATATTTAACACTATATTCATTAAATATACTCGTACATACAATATATAAATATACATATTATTATAACCCGCAAAAAGTTATAGTGAAAATGGCAAATTTAAGCAAACGAGTCAGCTTGTCGGATTTTGCAGCCACCAAACCTGAGACCTCTGTAAGAAGCGGATCTTGGTTCGATTGGATAGTGAGATGGAATGGAAACAAGGACACCGGAATACAACAAGAGGATAACAACACCGGATCCTCGCTAGAACATGTAAAAGAAAGAAAAAAATAGAAAAGATTAGAACCTTAAAATAAATTAAAAGTGGTGGCTCAGATGCTTAGATTCTCACTCCTTATGTAAATAGTTACGATAATTTTACATATAATAGACCAGAAAGTTTTTGCAAAGACTACGACTTACGTATATTTATATCGCGACGCAGCCCTCTCCTCTAGTTATAGAAATATGGTCACTCAGCTGTGTGAAACTACCAAGAACCACCACTGCAAATTAATGATGGTTTCTGTTTAGAAAAAAAAAATCGTGCACAATGTATTTACTATATTCTATCATTCCAGGTCAGCGACGAAAATGAAGTAGAAACGGATGAAAGCAGAACCACGGAGACGACCGTGACATATCCAGGTAATATTGCGAATTCTACAACTAAATTCCATAAATAATTATGAGCTATACATTGTACAGTGTACAATGTTAATTAATGATAACTACGAGTACTTTGTCTTCGATAAAATGTATATAATTTGAATCAAATTAGCTTTAGTTGAAAGAGAAATCATGTCGCATCATCGAAACAACACGAGTCAGCTGTACGATGAAGTGAATGGCGATTTCGAGCAACTGAAAAAGTTTAAGGCTCAAGGTCAGTGCAATGTCAGTCAATGGATGATAAACGATGCATGTTTGGATCCAAAATGGAAAGGTACCAGTTATATAAATTATAAATCTTACGTGGCAACGCGTGTATAAAATATGCAATATAATATTTTTCACAATCTAAAAAAATAATTTCATCTCAAGATGTGTGCACGAGGGCGGACCCAAAGAAACTGGTCAAAGAGACAATTAACATTTACTCAGGTTTGTAAAAATGTTATCAAATAATACAAAACATTGATAATCAATGAAATCGCATGACATCATATGAAATATTTTTCGATTGTTTAGTAACCGATAGCAGAGCAACACTAGTTGACGACTTCACACCAATACCAGACCGGAAAACGAAGAACACCGATTTAGAAAAGGCGGTGAATGGTAGACTAAATTATTTTATTCTCGTATATGATAGTTTGTATAATGAATGATAAATTATAACAATTATCTTTGGTGTTAAGTTATAACAGAGTTGAAGAAGAAAAATGATATCATTGCCGAAGAATTAGCAGTTATGAAAGATAGACATCGTGTAATTGAGCAGAGAATAAAAGGCAAAAAAAAAATAACTATTTAATAACTGCATAGTTTAAAATAAATTAAAATTGTTGTGATAAATTGTAAAATATTTTTTGTTTCGCAAATGTTGATACTAATACAGACGCTGCACAAAATCAACACGCGAAACGCGACAGGGTGGTTGAACAAGTTTATGATACGGACAAATGTATGAAAACTTCGGCAAATCATTTTATTCGTATTTTAATCAAATTAAACTTGATTTAATGATTATAAATATTAATTAGCAATAATTTTTGGTCGATGTTTAGCTAATGAGTGGAATAAAGAAGATATGTTTTTAAAAAAAGAATTGTGGTTGCTGCGAGAAAACTTCTACATAATGCAACAGAAAATAAAATCAATGGATGGTATAGAATTATTATAATATTATAGTACTGATAAATCAATAATGTAGACACTAAACATCCAGTAATACATTGTTGGATATTTTTACCCAGAGTTGTTTTTAGATCAAAATGTCAAGTTAAAAAATATTACAGACAAATTAGAAGTTTTGACATCATCAGCGAACATAAATTGTAATCATATTTATATTATTCTAACGGTAAATTCCATCCCTATGAAATGCATACTTGATGTAAAATTTAACTTTTAGTTGAATCAGAAGCTATGTACAAGAAAGCAAACAATCGGATAGACAAGGTTGAAAAGATCGTAGACGTATTAAAAATCGAAAAAACAGTATTTCGTTCAATTGAACAGAAATCTGGCTAAGGAAATCGGTAATTTTAATTTTTATTTTTTATTTTTTATTGATTAATTGCAATTTAATAAAAATCACTTGTTCCTAGATAATATACGTAAACGTTCTGTGAACAAAAAGGTTTTCAAAAAATTCAGAGGTCAAACGAAGAAGAATTTGGACGACGTCAACAGATTTTTAAATTATTATAAAAGTAATATGTTGCATATATTTATAAAATTATAATCGGAAACATTAAAATTTTTAATGTGTAATTCTATATTGTGCGTTTAAATACAACTATTATAGATATAAATAAAATGGAGACCGAAATTAACGCTCGTCGTAAATACGACAAACTAAAAAATGAGACTGTGTATGATTGAAAGTAAGATTAGATTATCTATAACGGTTATAGTGAGCATAAGTTTAAATGTTGTACAAATTGAATTTTCAGAAGCAGAGGTGACAAATCAGATCAATACACAGCAAATTATGCAGAATATTAATATGTTATCCTCAAGTGTGAGAACAGGTGGAGTAATAGAATCAATGACAAACGTTCATTGTGATAAAAGATATCAACAAGCATACTCGTATTCACCTCCTCCAGTGAAACCAATAACATCTTTACTAGAATCAGCTTCTCCATCAATACCGCCGCCACCTCCATCACCCAAAACAGGACCTTCTTCTGAATATGCACCATATGTAATCAATTCAGATCTATTGCAATCTATGGCTAAAGAATTAAGGAAACCTGATGGTAAAAATATTAGGAAAATTCCAAAGCGTGTGGATATGAAAATTCCTAGTAAGAA